TTTCATCAATCCCAACTTGCGAAAACTGCTCCTCTTTGCTGGTACAGTTTGTCCATGTTTGGCACATGCTATTATTATTTTAGTGACTGTTCTACTTGACTTGTTAAATAGTTACACAATTCAGATGCTGTCGATTTGGCCCCTTCGGAACTCTACTTGTTACCTCATGTTGCTTTGAAAACTCACATATTAAAGTGCCAAGGGCATAACTTTGGGTTTTTTTTTTTGGGGGGGGGGGGAGGTTGAGGTCTCCATCCATTTAAGGGGGTCTAGTTGGTTGTATTGGCTGTCCCCCCCATAATTTACACCGTTGCCAAGTAGTCATGGTCAGACCACCTTTAAAACCAAACCATGCTGCTAATTTTCATTCAAAGGTATTTTTTTGTTGTGATTCTATTATGTTGTCCATCTCCTGTATTTAGTTTCTAAATATGTAGAATTATTCAGAATTTTGATTAAATAACACCTACTGTACTGCATTATTGATCTCCATATATTCCATAACTTTTGTGATGTTACAAAAGAAGGCAGCAAGTTTTTCCTTTGTCTTTTGCACTATAACTACAGTATATTTTCAGTTCTTTTCATTTTAAAAGGCACAGCATTCATCTCCCCAGTACTCCCCAGTACTCCCTTACCATCTCCCCAGCACTCCCCAGTACTCCCTTACCATCTCCCCAGCACTCCCCATTACTCCCTTACCATCTCCCCAGTACTCCCCAATACTCCCTTACCATCTCCCCAGCACTCCCCATTACTCCCTTACCATCTCCCCAGCACTCCCCAGTACTCCCTTACCATCTCCCCAGCACTCCCCATTACTCCCTTACCATCTCCCCAGCACTCCCCAGTACTCCCTTACCGTCTCTCCAGTGAAACTGCGACTCTGTTACAGGAACAGTAAATACCTCTATTTTCACTCTGTAGTCAAGACGAGTCACTTTATTGTCAATTCACACATGAACCAAAAAACCAGGACAAGGAGCAGCTGAAAATAAACACCAAACAATAAATACCGGTAGGAGAATAAGTAAAGAATAGAGAATAAAATAGATAGATAGATAGATTAATCAATCAATTAATTAAATTGAAAATTGAATTAAAAACTACATAACAATACATAACAATGACACAGTGCAAATGCTGTGCACTCTGTATGTGACATCACAGCCAAGGAAATTTTCATATGATATTAGGTAAAGGCAAATTAAAATACCAAAAAATATGAATACATACTAATATTAGTGCTCATACTAACTCAGAATCATGTATAAAGCAAATAACTAAATTTGTTATTATGGAAAAATATATATTAAAGACAAATCCAATAAGAACATTATATAAGTGAAGGATGCCTTTAGGAGGTGCGTGTCAGTGTCAAGGTCGGCATAGCAGCTGCTGGGACCTCACTCAGCCGGCCGAGAGTCTTGAGCACACAACAGCCTCGCACTTGGCACTCCCTTGGAGTCCGTGTTTCCACTAGCGTGCACAAGCATTGCTATTCACTGACCTATATTTTTATTCAATCTCTTAAAAAGCAGACACGGACACTCATAAGACTTCCTTTCATTTGTATAAATACCATCCCCTATTTCTGACTTTCAAAATCAATATTTTGGCTCACAACACTAAACGTTTTAGTACCCAGTCATTATTCTATGACTTCGCATCGGATGAGTTGTCTAAATGTTTATCTTTTGCGCCGAGAGTGATAAAAGAAGACAGGAATCTAGAGAATCTCCGGGGTTCCCTCTGCCAGCGACATGGGCAGCCGTATGATGTCAAGACACCCAAGGATTCTTAGCTTTGTCATTTAAGGTCACTATGCAGCAGCTGCGTGACGGAAAATCCCAAGCTGCATGATTCCCAGGATGTCCGCTGAGCTCTGTGTGCAAGCAGGTCAGGGTAACCTCAGTTCACGCGTTCATCCCCCAGATCCACGCCTGGGTGTCTGTTGCACAGGTTACATAACTGTCCCGCTCCATGCATAGCAGCCAGAGGCTGAAGGACATCACAGCAGGCTAATTTGGGAGCACCGGACCAGCTCAGGCCGCGCTTCTCTCTCATACACCAGACCAGCCTCTCCCCAGGAAGACTAACTTCACACCTTTGCAAAAACATGCGGCAACGGCCCGGGGACAGGACGACCCCAGCCCTGAAGGACGCTTCTGCTGTAGCCCTAGATGCTAACAGATAGCACTAAAGGTCAGGAATAAATAGTTCACGTATGAAAAACACATTTTATTACTCTTAATCAAGTAGTTATGCATGCAAATTTATACCTCAGATGGGCCAATTGATGAGAAGTCATATATTTCCTTATTTTTACTGCCAGCATGCTGAGGAACAGGTTGTTCCATGCATTACATGGCATTTTGCAGTGCATAGCAGTTTTCAAATGCAGTCACCCTAGAAACAAGTAGCAGGCTCTTATGTTTGCAGGGTGTGTTTGGGAGGGGGGGGGGATGCAGGGGATGCCGTCACAGACCGGGGAGAGAGGGTTGGTGCAAGAATATAGACAGAGACAAATTTGGTAAGTCATGTTGAGGCTGAACGAGCAAGGGACAGCTGTGAAATTTGACACTGGGTATTGATTTAGGAAAAGGGCACCGTGACAGGTTTCGGCTAACCCCGCCCCCACCCGCCACACCCCAAACCATCCAGCAGTTCCCAGAGTTATAGTGGGCCATTTAAAGGAAGTAAAGTTCCCTTTTATAGTGACACTACAAGTAATGAAAAATGCCCCACAGTGACAGTATTCCTTAATGCTAAACCGCTCAAACTACTCCAAGCTACAAGCGGTGTTACTGGGACAGTCGTCTTCCCCATATTCCTTCCCTAGGTTATTCTTTTGCATGATATGTAAATACAAAAGGCATTTAAAGAGTCACAGTCACAGAGTATACAACTGGTTGGTTCAAACAAAATCTTGGTCTGGACTTTTACTTTCTGGACCTGAACTATCCATATGTGTATGGAGCAAATTTCCTAAGACAACAGAATAACAAGAGAATTTGCCACATATAGTACCGGATTTTTTCAATACTTAAACAAAAGCCAAAAATGACTATAGGTACGTTACTCTATCGCTAGTACTGCTGCATCACACTCCAAGGTTCAGGATACTGATCTTGCTTCCTCTCTGCATGTTTGTGTAGAGCTTGTCACAGAGGTTTCCTGCTACAGTCCAAGGACATGGAGTGGGAGACATCCTTACATTACCTTTAGTGTATGACTGCATGCCCTGCAATGAACAGGCATTACATTCAAAGTGATTACACGCCCACAGGTGTTCCATTCGAGGTATACACCTGCCCACGGGTATTCCATTCGAGGTGTACACCTGCCCACGGGTATTCCATTCGAGGTGTACACCTGCCCACGGGTATTCCATTCGAGGTGTACACCTGCCCACGGGTATTCCATTCAAGCTGTACACCTGCCCACGGGTATTCCATTCAAGCTGTACATCTGCTCTGTGCTGCCTGGCATAGGCTGCAGCCCCCCTACTACTGATCAGACGAAATCCCCTTAGACACCAATGATTTGCTGTAGGCATAACTTCTCTTGTATGAAAACCTTTTTTTTGTACTGCAGATGCTGTACATAAACAAATAGACCTTGCTTGGTTATATCTCTTAGTTCTACCTACATTTCTGCAGATGTCCTGCACACATCATGCATGATTGTGTTGGCTGTCCTTAGTAAGGGCTTAGAATAAACCTTTATTATCCCACGAATGAGAAATTTAGGTGTTACTGAGCTCTTATACAAAAAGTTATGTAGAACAACAAGAGCAGGTAGGTCAGAGATATGTTGTACAGAGATATGTACAGAGGTATGTACAAAATGTACAGAGATATGTACACAAGTGTGGGGGTGCGGTGGGGTGTGAATGATCCTGGTGAATATACAATGTACACTCAAGCTGCAAATCAGTAACAGCAGTTAAAGACATATGATATGTCCATTAGACAGTATATGAGTAGAAAATACTCACGCTTGATTTGAGCCTTTGTTGGCTCCTTAAAATATGAAGCTTTTAGGTTCTTCTATACCTTCCCCACAGTGTATGGAGACAATTTGAGTCCAGTTTCCAGCACATTAACAACTGGTCCAGATATTTGAAACTTTTAAGTCGTTTTGTCTTAACAGTGGCTGGTAGCGGGTTCATGACAATGTGTCAATGAGGCTCCTTCTCTTGACGTAGCTGTTCTTTGTCTTTTCCTATTGTGATGGATGACAATGAATTTTTCATATGGTTGTTGCTTATTTCTAAAACCAGGATAAATAAGGAAGGATTGGAAGACCATAGTGCAGTTAATGGTTGTGTTCATAATCTTTAGGAATTTTGATACATTTTTGAAAATTATTTGCATTACTCAAGAAAATGAAGTTAGATTAAAAAAATAAATTTTACTAAAATATAAGTATGCAGTGTATTGTATATAATGTATTGCATATTATTTTTGACCATGTAAAATATGTCCTCGTGTTGTCTATGCAGTCTTTCTTGTGCATTCTAATCTATACTGACAGATTGGCATGTTGCCAGTGTGTTACCGAGATATAAATCAGCATATTAAAGACCTTCATTGAATCAAGACTGTTGTTTTCAACATATAAAAGAATGCGAATAAAATGCAAATACAATTTCAGTTGCACTGTTCTGCCTCCATGGTGGATTTAAAGTTATAAGGAAAGAAGGGGAACAGGCAAAGTGGAAATGAAAACTTCTTGCAGGATTAATGCATAACCCAGTATAAGTGCAAGAAAGAAAACATTCGTTTGTGGAACGATAAAAATAATGCACTTAAATTAGTGGTATAAATCTGGCATTATTTACGCCTAAGCTCCTCTCTCCTTGAAGTTGCTGTTGCTATGTTTGGGGTAGGGGCAATGAATGGGGGCGGCTTAGCATGTTACCTATCTTCGGCAGTGTTATGCAAGTTCTTACCTTAGCTGGTTATCATATACTGGCTCTGACCAATGAAGAATAAGCAAGCAGAAGCTCTTTGGCCAATAGATACAAGTTATCTGGGTATATAAACCCGAGTTGAACTCCTTCATAGTTGGGCGACCCCTACATTGGCTTTGGTGAACAGGATCTGATCCCAAGGACTGTTACAGCTTTCTTTTCTCCCTCGAAGGTAAACCTAGCTTACTGGGATGAGTGAGAAATGTAGAGACGAGAGTAGGCTAATTAATTTGGGTTCTTCTTAAATAATTCAGGATTAGGGATAACAGCAGTTTTAACATGCACTGAAACTTACCATTACCAATTCATCTGGACTCCTGAAATCTTTTTTTAAATTTTATTTTTGGAGAGCACCTTCTTTGGCTTCTTGCTGCAGGTGCTTTTGAAGGGCGAAAATGGAAATACCGTCAGCTAATTATTATATTAGTGTCAGCCTGAAGTGCCGGACATGTCTGCTTTGGATGCATTTTTTTTTACCTATTTTGCTAAGACTTGAGACTGGGTGAACACCCAGGGTGCACCTTCTATAGACATGCATATTTTATGAGTGGTGTCAGGTGATCTAAAAGTGTTGGCCTGCATCAAATCACAGCAGGGGGTTGATTTCACCCCCGGTGGTCATGGTAAGAAGAGCACAGGCTTACGGCTCTGAAATAGATAATTCTCTTTATCCTGCCACATATATTTTATAGATTAATGCTAGATACCAGATTTTAAATGTAAGATAAGATACTGCAGAAGTTTAATATGAAATATGCTAAAGCTCAGACATGCACGTAAAGAAATACTTGATATTTTTGTATGGCTGTGTATTTTATAAATCCATTATGGAGATGAGAAATCAACAAGTAATACCATGTTTGGCCTGCAATATTCTCTGTTATAGATCAGAATTTTTAAATCTGAGTTCCATCCTGGTCTTGTTTGTCATAATGATGTATAGTGCAGTTCTTTAACAGGAAAAAAACACAAGGGTGGAGTGATTGGCTATTTTACTTTCTTTCTTTGGTCCTCTGGAGTTCGAGCCTTAGTCCGTATTTGGGGCATATGCACGGTGGAGACATTAAAAATCCCACCTGCTCCATGTACATATATGCACACAGGATAGTCTGACAGCACTCTTAGCTGAAACATGAGTCAATGGATAGAAGCTGCCAGAAGAGGTTCTGTAAGGGTACCAAGGGATTGATAACATTCGATAATGACGCGGGCATCAGCCGCCCATCAACTCTCATTTTGGAAAAGATTCCGGGACAGAGTAGGCTGATTTACCACACACAAAAGCGAAATCACAAATCAAATATGGGTTTTGCTCTCTTTATATTCATCCGCTTTGCATAACGTTTTTTTTTTTTTTGCAGATCAAGTCAAAAACGCAACGATGACGAAGAACAAGCACAACGACTACAAATTGCAGTTCACCACGGACGAGGAGTTCCCTGACTTGACAGTGCACAACAACCACATGTCCAAGGCCATAACCAGGGAAATATATGACAAGCTGAGGAGCAAGTCAACACCCAGCGGATTCACCCTGGATGACTGCATCCAGACTGGTGTGGACAACCCAGGTGAGGATTCCCCTTGATGCTCACAGTCCCAGTGCTGACACCATTGTCTTTATGATGTTTAGCTTTGTCTCAGCTCAGGGAAAGTTCTCAGAACTTAAGTTAAAGTTCTTACAAAAATGTTAATTTCCATATTTTACATTTTAACAAAGGTTCTGTCAGTGTCATGATAACATTATTACCTTAATTTCCTTTTAATGCAATGAATGGTAAAAAATATTTTTTGTAATAAGATATTATTTTATGGATGTGCTATATGTGTACTGCAAACTCATCATCCAGCCTTGGACCCATGGTCTTTGTGGTGTAAAGCGACAATGTAACCCACTGCTCTCTCATACCCTTTGTTAGTTATATTATTAATCTTAGTTGTAGTAGTGGGATAACGTTCTGGGAGCATCTGGAAAACTGGAGACTACCGTTTCCACACCATAATTGTAACGTAAATCATAAAATTGTTAGTGAGGATTAAGGCTCATCTGTGCAGTGCTCAAAGACAGCCATTAAAACATTGCACAAATCATAATTTGAGATATTCAATTATTTTATGATTAGCAGCACAACCAGCCTATTGTAATCGGACTGAAACGGCTGTATTGTCTGATTTGCAAAAGCATTGAAGCAAGCAACCCAGATTGCTCTTGGGTGTCTGTTTTTACTGTGATGCTTAATTCCAACTCGTAGGTCACCCGTTCATTATGACCGTGGGCTGCATTGCTGGTGATGAGGAGTCTTATGACGTCTTTAAGGATTTGTTTGACCCAATCATCTCCGACCGTCATGGTGGCTACAAGCCCACAGACAAGCACAAGACTGACCTGAACTTTGAGAACCTAAAGGTGATGGATCCCGAACATCATTTTTCATTAAACATGTTTTCCAAGTGTTTTACAATTTTACTTGCTACCCATAAAATACATTTACTAAATATTTACATATTTTGGGGAAAGTACCAGTTCTCCATTATGGTAAGGTTATGCTTTAGTTTTGAATGAAATTTAATATAATTCATAATATTATATAAAATGCCCCTAAAAATACTTTTGACACAAGGATTTTCAGATTAGGACTTAGATGTAGCTAAGGTAAGATTTATTAGTCCCACAGGTAGGAAATTTGCATTTTACAGCAGCAAAGTGGACAGTGCAACAGAAATAGTAGCTTGTCTGGTTCCTCCCAAGGTTTCTTCCTTCTAGGGAGTTTTTCCTCGCCACTGTTGCCTCTGGCTTGCTCACTGAGGTCTTTGGGCAGTGATAACGTAAAGCCCTTTGAGACAATGCAATGTGAAATTATGCTATATAAATAAAATTTATTTGAATTAAATGGCAGATTTGGTTAGTTTAAGTAGTATATTATGAAACTAACCAAGAAATTGACCCATACAGGGCGGTGATGACCTGGACCCCAACTACGTTCTCAGCAGTCGTGTGCGCACTGGCCGCAGCATCAAGGGGTTTACCCTCCCCCCCCACAACAGCCGCGGCGAGCGCAGGGCTATTGAGAAGCTATCTATCGAGGGTAAGCATTAACCTTCTCCCTGTTGTCTCTCCAGCTGTCAGTTATCTTTGAAACATTGTAGCAAACACATGAATACAATCACCCTGGTAATGCGCCATCAGTTACAGAGTGCTTTACATTGAATGATTAGAAGTCTAAATGGGAACACACAGAACATTATGTCTTGCGCATCCTATAGCCCTGAACAGCTTGGATGGAGAGTTCAAAGGCAAATACTACCCCCTGAAGGACATGTCTGATAAGGAGCAGGAGCAGCTCATTGCAGACCACTTCCTGTTTGACAAGCCGGTCTCTCCCCTGTTGTTGGCCGCTGGTATGGCACGTGACTGGCCAGACGCAAGAGGCATCTGGTGAGTTTGTCTTTTCAGTCCATGTAGTTTCTGTTAAAAAGTGCATTGAATAGCATGTCATTTTCCTAATCACTTTTCCTTGACTCCAATGGAAAATGTCATGAGGTGAAGGAAAGGTGTGAAGGAAAAGTCATGAGGACCTAGGAGCAGACAACCATGCTGCTAAGAGAATCCGAGCGCACTTACACTTGGCTGCGCAGTTATATAACGGCAGATGTTTTCAAAGTGGGTCTGCCACGTGATGCTACAAGGTTCTAAGGATGAACCACGAAAAGCTTTGTGCGAAATGTTGCTGCTGCAAGGAATTGTGGGACGACATTATCTCCATAAAGGATGGTCCAATGTATCCTGTGCTAAAGGAGATAAAACTGGACACAGTGAAGCATCTTTCTTTAGCATTTTAAGGAATTCCAACAGCTGTTAGATACTGCCGGGTCTATTGTATGATGTGGTTCTTCCCTCCTGAAAGGCACAATGATGGAAAGACCTTCCTGGTCTGGGTGAACGAGGAAGACCACCTGCGTGTCATTTCCATGCAGAAAGGAGGCAACATGAAAGAGGTCTTCAGGCGCTTCTGCGTCGGGCTCCAGAGGGTAGGAGTCACCCTCCTACCATCTTATTATTTTTGGACAGTTGTGAATTTCATGAATTTATTCTCAAAAGAATCATAGTCCATAATGATTGGAAGCCGTGACAGACAGCGGCCTTTAATGACCCATACGTTAACACTTTATTCTTAGACTATTAGTAGTAATCATATGGGTTTAATGTTAGACTCCTGTAGAGGCAAATTTGCTTGATGTGTCATGCATATCTTACAAGTTTTTACACAGCAATGTTTAACAGTGTGACAGGGTTACTATTTCACAACCATTTGGCTAACTGTCAGTAATACCCACTAGAAATACCTGCATAACACACCATCCTTATCTCTATATCAACTTAAAAGTAGGTGCACGTTGGGTGCTGCTCAATACCAAGAACTCAACAAAACGTACTTGTGTTCTCGCTGACTTTCCTCCCAAGAACGAATTTAGGACGCAGTGAATCATGGGATTGTTTTCATTGGTGAGGATGCAACCGATGTAACTTTGATATTTGGGGCGGGGCAAGAACGACATCCGGGGATTTTTGCCATCCTCCGTGTTTCTGTTGTTGGGTATTGAAACTGGTCTTTGGCAATGGGAGATAACAGTCAAACGGGTACAGGAGAACACAAGAATGGTCAAGTACGTACATTGAGAAACACCCATTGTCAGGAACATCACCTCTAGGGATAATTGCTGGCTGTCGTTTCACGTGCACAGATTGAGGAGATCTTCAAGAAGCACAACCATGGCTTCATGTGGAACGAGCACATTGGCTACGTGCTGACCTGCCCCTCCAACTTGGGCACCGGGCTGCGTGGCGGCGTGCACGTCAAGCTGCCCAAGCTGAGCACACACGCCAAGTTCGAGGAGATCCTCACCAGGCTGCGTCTGCAGAAGCGTGGCACAGGTGCATTTACACGCCAGCCTGAAGCAACCCAATACATTTCAGCATTAAAAACCAAACTGCCAATAAATAAGGCCAAAATTAACACTTAGCATTTTTGGCATAATGCTTTAAAAATTACTACATGAATATTGGTGGTAATGTTTACAAACAATTTAAGAATGTTTACATATCATATCATACATTCGATCATTAAATAAATAACTGGAGTAACAGCTGAATAAAGTTCTGCAATCTCTAAAAACTGGAAGTGTTTCCACAATTTCGGCCACTAGGGTATAAAAGCTACAGTCTGTAATGACAAAAATAAAGAGTTTATAAAATTAATTAAAAAGTACATGAATTACTTATTGAATACAGTATCCAACCATTTAGATTAGCCTTGTTCTTTGTATTCTGAATTATTATTAGTGATTTGAAAGAAACATTAAGAATGTCGAACAACAAAAACTATGGCTTACACAGACCATACAACAATGCCAATCATGTGACGCTACAAATTCACCATACAGCAGAGCTGATGGCTGCTTATCAGTCAGGCGTTGACGTTAATTTTGACCTGCTACACACAGGTGGTGTGGACACGGCTTCCGTGGGCGGCATCTTTGATATCTCTAATGCTGACCGCCTGGGCTCCTCTGAGGTCTATCAAGTCCAGTTGGTGGTCGATGGTGTGAAGCTGATGGTCGAGATGGAGAAGAAGCTGGAGAAAGGAGGCACCATTGACGATATGATCCCTGCCCAGAAGTAAAGTGAGAATCGTGGTTTTTTTAATACATTATTGAACAAGTAACCATGCCAACCAACGTGTGGACGAGTAAAAAAAAAAAAAAAATGCTGCGTTGCTCTGACTTGTCCAGAGACTCTTGACTCTGCTTACCTTCTTCATCAGGTTTTCTTTCCATCATTCTTTCATTTACCTATCCTTTCTCCCACTTTTCATTTTCCACTGTTTTCGCCAACTCAATTGTAACATCCTGGGATCAAACTGCCACATTGCTAGTTGCTTTGTGGTTTCACCTTAATCATGACCTTTGGCTGTACAAATTATTTGATTCAATAAATTGAGCCCCATGTAACAATCAGGATATGGTGTCATCTTGTCCTTTGATTTCATATTTTCCAAACAAACTTAATTTAATACATTAGACTCAATAAATGAGAACTAAGCCAGTGATATTAACCAAAGGGATTAGTTTTGAAGCATAAACCTTTTGTGTATTTATATAGTATAAAAGCGAAAGTGACCTGAACAATTAAGAACAAAAAAAAGAGAAAAGTGAGTATGAGTGATTTTTATTTCTCATTTTTTTTCTTAACTCCCATTTTTTCTTTACATCTAAAGGTACCACAGTCAGTACCTGAAAAAAAAATAATAATTTAAAAATTGTAAAGAAAAAAAATAATGAGCAATAGTTTCATTTTTCATCTGGTTTCTACACAATGGTACAAATACAAGCACTCTGCTGGGTTTTAACAAGAGGGACCATGTTTGTGTTGTGTGAATGTCTGAGTGTGTAGAATACAGTTAGATGCGGTTAGACCAAAATGGAGGTCGTGAAAGGAGGGAAAAACCATACCCATCTTAGCTCCAGGAAATAGTTCTGCTTATAACAGGAACAATTGCTTTTGAGGCGAGACCAATCTACATTTTAAAGGTTGTTCCAATCTCAGCTGCAATAAGACCAGATGTGACTCCATTAGCTGTCTATCTTTTAGGACTGACGATTATGCAGGTCAGACCATAGTCAATCTCATTGGTGCAAAATCAAAATTTACACTGACAAGGTCACAAAGACACGTGGCTATCGGTAGCATAAAATAACGGTCATCTGTAGACTGCCCGCAAACACCATGACAGCTGTGTGAGAATATCTTCCCGTAACATAGGAAAAAAACATCCACTCAGGTCACGAACTCAGCTGCACAGAAATCCACACTCCCTATCACAAGTTTCCTGCTGTGTGTTTTCACTGCCCGCTGTAACTTTGTTCATATCTGATGTAATGTCGCGCTTGAAAACCAGCAGAAAAAATAAAGACATTGCATTTATATATGAACATGGGTTTACGTTGATCATGACTAGTTGAGAACGTGTTGCATTTATTACAGTCCTGTGAATTCCCTGAAGACCCGTTAAATGACTAACAAAGGAAGCCAAACAGATTAATCGGCTTCACAGTGGCACTTTCCACACATTACACTCTTCCACAACTCTAGTCTCCAAAAAAGGCCAACATCATTATCACTTACTGGAATAGCCTTAAATACCCCTTGTGAAACCTGCTCTTTGCTCCTTGAGACCTAATGAATTGCTGATATTTACTCAGAATGACTAAAATGCTGTGATGTGGGAAAAAAAAAAAGCAAATGTCCAAAGACGTGACGGAAGAAATTTTATTTTGTTTTGCTTTTTCTGGAGACATGCAGGACTGCAAGTCAAAAAATACTTACTGGGCATCCCCTTTATTATTAACTGTTTAAAACCTATTACTACTTCCTAGTCTCTAAACACAGCCCTAAGCTCTAACAGTATATATGCAACCGGCTGAAGAAGAGAAGCCCTCTTAAGTTTTGTTTAGAAAATCTTCTAGCTAAGGGAGTGACCAAAATCACAGCTTTTACATTTAAGACTTTCACACTTTGAGAAACGTGTTTCTGGCATTCATGTATATGCGGCACAGGTTAGATATACTTAGTGTCTGGATAAACCACAGCTCAAATTTGTACAAACTCCAGTGCACTTTCCTTATAAGAATAACAAAAATGCCAAAAAGGGGGGGTTGAATAGTAGCGAAATCCGATCTGCGGCAGTCTGTGTATGTACGTGAGTGTGTGTGTGTGTGTGTGTGTGTGCGTGCGTGCGTGCGTGCATGAGGAAATGTGTGGGTGTAATGCACAGGCATTAGAGGAAGGAAGGATGGGGATCTGACGAAAGATGGAAAAAAAAAACAAGCAAATGGTTTGCAAAAGTGAAACGAGCGATCCGTTACTCCCTCCATCTTCACAGGCGAGTTGGAACGAGCAGCGCGTGGAACAGCCACCGCAGGTAGGAACCGGACCAACGCGTAAGTGAATCCACACCCCAGCCGGAAACACCGCCTCAGTCTCCCCAGGCCTGATCCCGTCACACCAATCTCACTGGGATTTTAATTCGACGCACGGCACCTTGGCAACTTAGACACTAATGAAAAGCTGGCTGCTACCTGAGGCACAGTCCACATTCGAACCCATGATCTCCAGACCTGAACTAGAATGACTGGCTCAGGCCCATGCTACGAGGTGTGACTGGCTGCCTCACTTAGAAGAGAAGGGAAAAAAAAAAAACTGGATCACTTTACCAGATGATTTGGCAGTCACGGTTTAGCACCATTCCTGTACATGTCTACCCAAAATGTTATTAGGTAACTGAAAATTCACGAAAGCAAGGTTTGTGCTAACAGTTGGTACATTTCAGTCCATCCCGATTCAGCTACACAAGAGTGAGACACCAGTTCTTTGTTTAAGATCTAAGAACCTTTGGCTGTTCTATCCTGTTCTAGGGTCGTTTTGAGGGTGGATATCGTTGCCCTCTTTATTTAACAACACTGACCTGCTCAGCAGAGTATTAAGACGCTAGAGGGAAGGTTGGAACACCTCACTGCCATGACTGAATGTCCTAACATGTATCCATCTGTCTATCAGACTATAACTAAAAGACAAAGCTGTGGCGGATGATTCACCATAATACTTATGTAAGACGAACTGTAAACAAGAAAATCGACTTGGTAAATAAGAGGGGGCTACAACTTTCAGAAAGGGTATTTACTGTCAGAACAAAGTGCTCCTCTATATGTACTGCTAGTGTGTAGGGAAGAAGAAGTACAGTGGCTCAGAAGAGGAGCCGTCTTACCAGTTGCTTTGCACACTGTTGGTATCGGAAGGCTAAAGCTCCGGCCATAACTGGCCAAATAATCAGAGAGCAAAGTGTGAACCCAATGGACCGATAACAGGGGGGGGGGGGAGAAAATCGGGCATCTTTCCTGCTCATGCAATTAATCTACGTGTTCCTGTGTATCCCACCCTCACAAAGAAGTCCTGAATGACATCGCTCTGGTCGACGTTACCCTTTTAAAATACTTTATCCTCTAAGCTCAGCTGCATTAATCTGGGGGGAAAAAAAAAAGATTCCATGACTGGGGGAGCGGGGGGGAATATATAGCAGCTGTAGAGAAAAGGAATGACGTATATAATCAATTTGATGACAATTTCATCGAGAAGAACAAAAAATAATTCAGATGGTGGTTTGGTCCAGGGGTATTGATGTCTTTCAGCGGGGGTGGGAGGGGGGTGATTAGCAAGCTGTCAGTCGGCGTGTCCATGTGGCAGAAAAGCAGGGGGGGGGGGCAGCAATGGGATTGGTGCAGCAATGGCAGTCAAGACAGAGGTTTGCCTCAACATCCTTTTTTTTGTCCCAGTCTGTCTGTCCTCTGCCCCCCCCCACTCCCTCCCCACCCCCATCACCCTCAGAGTTCCAATTCCTTGGAGACTTTGGTGGCAATGTCCCGGAAGGCGAGAGGCGCCCCCCAGAGGCGCTTGAAGCGCACGCCGCTGGTCTCGGACGGCCCCGTGGGCAGCTGGCACACCTCGGCCTCGAAGGCCACTCGCGAACCGGCCACCCCGTGAGTGCAGGATAGCAGGAAGGGTCCAGCCAGATGGACCTGGCAGCCGCATTCCTGGGCCGCCTCGCGCAATGCCAGGACCACCTCCGCCGGGTCCCGGGGGCTGCGCACCTTTACATCCCAGCCGCATCGGGGGGTCCGGGGCTCTGACGCTTTTTGATGCCCAGGTAGATGGCGACTGCAGGGGGCGGGAAAAGTTTCAGTATTAAATTTTTTTTTTTTTAACGCATGATGTTTTTCAGACCGACAGTCACCATGACTTGAACGCCATTTAATTTCCCCATTCGCTTTTCCACCGTAGATGAGAAGCCGACACTACGGTCAGTTTAACTGACAACGTTTACAGAAATGAACAGTTAGATGTGGAGCACAATGGAGGCTAAAAACAGGAGGGACCAGCGTCTCAACACCAGCATATAGTTCTGCTTATAACAGGAACCACTGCCTTTGGGGCGAGACCAATCTACATTTTAAATGTTGTTCCAATCTCAGCTGCAATAAAACCAGATGCGACTCCATTAACTGTCTGCTTTTTTAGGATTGACGACTACGCAGGTCTAACCATTGTCCGTCTTATTGATAATTACATTTAATTGCATTCCACTTAAAAGCATGCACATCTCTGGTGAGGTGATTGTAGGACACAGGGCGCACATATTATGGACAATTTAGAGACGGTCAAACCAGAGGAGTAAAAGTGAGATTCGGACACCTGGAGAGGTGACAGCAATGCTCACTGAGCCTTCCATGACAAAACATAATTTTTCGCTACATGTACTGTTTTAAAGTCACCTTTAAATAAGTTAAAAATTAAATACTAAAGAAATTGCTTTGCTTGCTTTCAGTAAGTAGTTTGCTTGCTTTTTAATAAGGGTCCTGGGATCAAAAACATGTCCTATAAACTAGGAAGGGTGGGGAAAGCAAACTATGGCATTTATAGTTCTAGCAGATCTGAAATGCAAACGTAAATTCAGCCTCCAACCACCAGGAGGTGCTGCAGCAGAGCCTTACCTTGTGACCGGAGATCTGGAGACTCTCTCAGGTTCGTCTGTGACCCTTCAGAGGAAGACAAAGCCTAGTGTTAGGAACGAATGGAGGACGGGAATGGAGAAAATATCCATAACCAGCATCCCCAAGAAACTTGGCAAGTGCACAAAAACATCAATTCAGCGCAATGACATAAACCATATGAGCATTCACAAAAAAAGAAAAACATAAAAAATGACCAGAAAATAAATAGGGGACAAAAAGGAAGATAAAAAGATCATGAGGTTTTCTACCTCTGGACAACAGCACTAAGTCATACCTTTATGTTAAAGTGGTCATGTAGACCAAACCCAGTATTAAAAAAATGTTCACAATGAAGAACCTTTCGTGAGGAACAGCAAAGTCCAACTAGATAAAAGTTCTTAGAGTCACCAAAGGTC